ATAGACATTTAAAGTTTCAGCCAATCAGATTGCAGCTCACGCGGATTTACGTCTTTTCATGATAATTCTGATGTACCATGCGGTAGATCTTCATAATTTGTCACTAAGTTCAAAATTTCAAAGTATTATGACGTAAAACAAGAAAGATATTGAGACTTTAGTTTCAGCCAATCAGAGCGAAGAGCACGTGCACGCACGTCAGATCTTGCTATTTGGCCATGTCATCTTGTCTATACTACTGAGATATCCATACATTATGAGTTTCAAAAAATTTCATCAAGAAATTAAAACGTTACGGCTTTATCCATTAAATTGGTCATTTCACATGTTGCACGTGCGTGCTCTTGCCAACACACGTGTATGTACATGTTTTCATGAATATTCTTATATATCATGCTGCTGATCTTCATAATTTGTAACTAAGTTCGAAATTTCAAAGGATTATAACGTAAAACAAGAAAGATATTGAGACTTTAGTTTCAGCCAATCAGAGCAAAGCGCACGTGCATGCACGTGAGATCTTGCTATTTTGACCATGTCATCATGTCAATACTACTAATATATTCTTATATTATGTATTTCAAAGCATATAATCAAAAAATAAGAAAGTCACGGCGATATCTATTATATTGATCATTTCACGTGTTGCACGTGCAGGCTCTTACCAGCACGTGCGCGCAAAATGACCTTGATTCCGCAAATCTTCATAACATGTCTACTGACCCTATAAATGTTTTACCTACATCGGGTGAACAGTTTACAAGATCACTCGCGGACAAAAAAGTACCCAGGAAGAAGAAGAAAAATAACTAGAAAGTCTGCTATTGCAAGCAATAGCATATGTCGCCCCGTACTGGACAAGACTTTCATTTTTATCATCACTAAAACAATGGTCCATTAGCTAAGCTTGGACAACCATCGAGTCGTATCAGTCTTTTCCGTTGGAAACGGAAGACCTTAATTGGGTACATCCCACTAATTATTTTTAGAATCGGTAGGAGAAGAGAGTAGTGCAGGAAAAAATTACAAGTTCCTAAATTTGCAGACTTGCATAAAAGAAATTGGGCAGATGTACTGAACTGAGCCTCATACTTGTTAATTGGCATTATCTTTCCTACCAAAAAAGCTTGGCAAATGTAATTTATTAAGAAGATCAGCCGAATTATTTTGTGTATTATAACGCCAGTGAGAACTCTAAAATTTCCCTACTTTCGCTTTCATTTTTAGAGGTTCTGCCGGAAAACGAATCTGACATACCACCTTCAATTCGAGCATTTCTGCATTGCACAGGGCTGATGTTTGTTATGAGATGATAAATCATGTGTAAACTTTCTCAGTTTAGCGGAATCATGAACATTTTCGGCGAGATGAATGTTTTGTTTTTACAGTAGTGATCAAGGCTTCGCGCACCTGTAGGAGCGGATCCAAGGATTTATGAATGAATAAAAACTATGGAAATAACGTACCAATTTTCTAATTTATACTTGCACAATCTAATGAAATTAATAATATACAAGAAATAGATATACAAGAAAACGCGAAATGCTAATAAATGCAGCTGACAATCGTTATTTTTTTTATATAGATAAAATAAAATAATTATAAAATCTAGAGACAAGACAGAAGAAGAATGAATGTTGGCAAACTATCAAATCACATCAGGAGAACTGAATTTTATGAATGAAACTTTTAAAACGTTACTTGTAAGTTGTATATGTTATATCTGTGTATTCTACCTGGCAGTGCGCTTCAAAAGGGGGGGGGGGGTCGTCTTGAACATAGTACCTTACGTTTGAACGGTAAGGGCTAGGGCTTTCGTATTTCAAATATGTAATCCTTGTGAAAAGAACTTTTATTGGACACGAAGAACTTTGACCCTTTGACCTAGACCTTGGAGAACACATGTGTACATCTTAACCTTTTTTACTGCTTCGTTTCTATGACAACTGTGAGCGACTCGTTACAATTATTTTAAAAGTAGAAATCACTTTGACACATTGCAAGGAATTAATATTGAAAGTTTCAAAACGATTGCTTGAGTAGTTATTGAGAAAATCGAAATTAAAGAATTTTAACATTCCCCTGGTTTCCATGGCAATAATCGATTATTTGAAAATTTTAAATGCAAATCGCACAACTACAGATACTATTCATTAAAATAAAAAAAGTTTCATGACGAACGTTTAAGGGACCAGAGAGAACACTCGCGGACAAAATTCGTCGCTTTTTACAGGTTTCCATGGCAACGGTAGACATATTGGAACTGAACGACCTCATTGCACAACTACAACCAGTGATCGTCCTTTGAGGAAAGTTTCAGGGAGATTGTCCCAGCCATCTCCGAGAAACAGCCTGGATAAAAAAAACATGCGTGCAATCGCAATATGTCGTCCCCGACTTCGTTCGGGGCGACATAATAATAAGAAACAGAGTAAAAACAATATGTTCCCCAACTTCGTTTGGGGAACATAATAAGAAACAGAGTAAAAACAATATGTTCCCCAACTTCGTTTGGGGAACATAATTACTTAAATTATATATAACTGGAAATTAGGAATATACATAAAAACTTACCAGTCTACATGTACATCACCCTATAGGCTATTCAATACATTGCGTGAGATCTTGCTATTTTGACCATGTCCTCTAGTCTACGCTTCTAATACTCGTATATCCTTATATTATATGTTTCAAAACATTTCATCAAATATTTAAATAGTTACGTCTCTATCAATTATATTGGACATTTCTGATGTAGCACGCGCACGCTCTTGCAAGCACACGTGCATGCACATGCTTTCATGATAATTCTTATATATCACGCTGTAGATCTCCCTAATGTATGACTATGTTAAAAATTTCAAAGGATTTTATCAAAAAACAAGAAAGATATTGAGACTTTACTTTCAGCCAATCAGAGCGAAGCGCATGGGTATGGGTATAGGCGGGCAGGTAGTTTAAAGCTGAACACGACTCGTAAATAGGCATACGCCATTTTCGATAGCATTATCTACGATACATCAATACTAGGGTATACTCGTCGCATTCGTTACACCTGACTGCTTTATTGTCACGGGTATCGGCGTGGAATGGCGACCCGTGTTTGTGCTGGTTATCTTGCATTGCCTTTGTTTATATTTTATTGCAGTTACGTTTATCTATTTTGTTTATATACTACACTGACTTATACTACTATAATTGTAAACTTATTTGGTATCTTATTTTCCTGCATTAGACGAAGTATTACGTTATTATTGTCATACCGAGTTCTGTATAGCATACGCCCGTCTTCGCCGGTAGTGAAAATAATAACGTTTTGTCTTATGTAGGAAAGTACCATACCAAATAAATTTACAATTATAGTTGTATAAGTCAGTGCAGTATACAAACAACACAGATAAACGTAACTGCAATAAAATATAAACAAAGGTAATGAAAGATAACCAGCACGAACATGGGTCGCCATTCCACGCCGATACCCGTGACAATAAAGCAGTCAGGTGTAACGAATGCGACGAGTATACCCTAGTATTGATGTATCGTAAATAATGCTATCGAAAATGGCGTATGCCTATTTACGAGTCGTGTTAAACTTTAAAACAGGTTTTTGTTAGTATGAATACAACTTACTCTCTCTCTAGACTGGAAGTTCCTGTCTCATTCGTACGAAACGAAAGGTGACTACCACCATCTTAAACCAGTCTAACGCTCTCTCATACACCCCTTTCTCTCTATTATACTAAATCACGTGATATGTTCGTTTGAGTGGAAACAAATAAGAACATAAAATATATAATAAATAGATCCCTGTTGAAATGTTAATATAGATTGATTGCATAAAAAACAAATGTAGAGAACTTTTAAAAAGTACTAGGTATTAAAAACCGAAAAACAAAATATGTACATATAGGCCTAGAAATTTCCAAAATTATAGTTGTAAAGGGTAACGATATAACCATGATAACGGCCGATGTCTCTGCACTCTGTGATCTGTTTTGGTTTCCCCGGACACATTTAAATTTCAACGTCAGCGTGAGTTTTTATCAGCCAATGAGCGAAGCCGGTCTTTACACTACTGGTCACCTGTCTGTATATCGAGGATCAGACAGGCAAGCCAGTCTAACTCTCTCTCATACACCCCTTTCTCTCTATTACTAAATCACGTGATAACGAACGGCAAACAAACAATGAAAACACCTTAACCACATATTGGCGGATCTAACGTCTAACACCTGGCTACATACGAATGAAATGCAAATCATATTGAATATGAAAATGGGCACAAATTAATTGGCACCCTTACATTTTAGGAATTTTATTAACTTTTTCATAGGCATCTGATCGCCAACCAAAACTTCTCAAAATGAATTGTTGAAGTCAAGTACATCACACTTTGTATGGAATACTGATTATTGTATCTATTTCCCAAACTTAAAATTTATTGTAAGAATTGGTCAAAAACGTCAAATTTTAGGCATTATGTATAATTTTTTGTATGTTTTAAATGACAACGGATGGATTTTAACATAACCTCGCCTGTATATTCATGACAACGAGCCATTTTCAGTGCTTTCAGACAACGGTTCCGTTTAAGAACTTAATGTGTTTCTGCCGTGAAAACGTGTCGCCCCATCCCCTCATGTCATAAGTACAGTATATTTTATGGGGAAGGGGTATTGAGAAATCGTTGTATTGAGCATTTTGTCCTTTGAACAGAAACTGAGATATTCATGCCCTACAACAAATGAAAAGGACTCGGGCAGGAATAACATGTAAAAAGTAAAACAATTTACAACCAAAATATCTTTGACCTTTCAAGAAAGTGTCCTCAAACTTGATATCAAGTTTAAGGACACTTTCCTGAGAGGTCATCAAGTTTAAGGACTCTCTCCTGAGAGCCATATCTCGGCGCTTCAGTCATGTATGTGGTGAATCTGTGGAATTAAAAATAGCAGAAAATTCATACATTGTACGCATTATACTCACATATTTTATTTTAGGTGAATATACTCAAAATCTGTGCCACCTGGGAGATAAAGCTTGTCCTCCATGTCCTAAGAGACTGCCGTCTTGTGTTGGGATTCTAAATGGGGAGCAGCCTTTTCCTGGTCGATTATGGAAACCAGACTTTGTCACTTGCCTGCATAATAGAACAATATATATTCAATATTGTGAAAATGGATACTTTCACCCAGTCAGAAAGCAATGTGTTATTAATGTAACTAAAGGTAATTGAATGAACCAGTTTTTTTCATCCATTAAAATGAAGGATATGGAGATAACAAACAGTATTCAATATCAAAGTCCATAAAACAATACAAAATAGGAGCAGAGCAAACATGGACCTCCAAAACATTAGAGGTGGGATCAGGCGCCATGGTAGAGTGAGCATTACCTGTTGACCGGTTATATCCGCCATGTGTTCCTTGTCATGATCAGGAAATAACGGGAAAATCCGTCGTCAATTCAGTGTATAAATAATGGACTAACAATTAGAATAAACACGATGTTTTTTGAAACACTATGTGCCCGGCGGCACAAAGTTCAAAAAAGCTATTTTTAGCATATATAGGTCAAGGACACAAGGTCACTGATCTTGGCATCATTTGAAAGAACTTGATAAGTGGAGAATGCATACCAAATATGAAGTCCCTATCTCTCATGTTTCAAAAGTTATGGTTAAGGTTCAAAAAGCTATTTTTAGCATATAGGTCACTGTCAAGGTCACAAGGACATTGACATTGGTGTCATTTGAAAGAGCCTAATTTGTGAAGTATGCATGCCAAATATGACGTCTGTATATTTCATGGTTCAAAAGTTATGGCGAAGGTTTAAGTTTGCAGATAAACAGAAAGACAGGACAAAAATAATATATGCCACGGATCGATGGATCCGGGCGCATAAAAACGTCAGTCAGCATTTGACTCAATGTTTAATTGTATTTGCTAATAAGGTCATTGTATCGACCAAAAAACTCACGAAATGATGACTTTAAACGATTCTTGTTTCATCAATTTGTTTGTCAATAATTTACTTCGTTTTAGAAATGGTAGGTAGAGCATGCTCTTGAGTATCAAATGAACTGACAATTAAATATAATTATAAACTCCGTATGCAAGTGATTAAGGTATATTGCTGCATAAGTATGGGAAGTTTGACAATAGAAAAGTTAAAGTCATCATTTAAACAAATGTAATCATTGTGTATGTATATATTATCCTATTGACAGCTGATGTAAAAGACTACTGTTTGGCAAATAAGGACAGTATTATAGACGATCCAACCAGCTGTAACCGGTTTTATAACTGTAGCAGAGTGGCAGTAAGCAGAAAACTGACAACGTCAGAGTGCCACTACCCTGATCTTTTCTCCACAATCACTAAATCGTGTCAGCTTTTCACGTCAGTCAACTGTGATCAAAGACAAGAAACAATGGCACCTTGTAAGATTAATGTTTAACCAAAATCCTTTGGCTAGAAAAGAATCACTTTATTGAAAAATGAATATATATATATATATATATATATATATATATATATATATATATATATATATATATATATATATTGGCCTCTTGACTTATTTTGGAATTTGGTCATTACTTTAATGGTTAGTAATCACTATTCCACGCAGTTTCAGTGTGTTTGACATCAATTGATTTCATTTTTGCATGTCCCTGCAGGCCATCTTTAAAATATTGTTTGCTTGGCCTCTCCCAACATGGGCTTATGATTGTGTCGGTAGGTAGGTGAGAGAATCTTTTTTCCAGAAAATCACAACATATGAGATTCACCAAATTCGGTCAGTCTGAGAGGGCAGCAAAACACTTTTTATGTTTTATGAAAGATGATCACACCTATTTCTTATACTGTTTGCTTTTTAAAACTTGCATCTCACTTGGGGGGGGGGGGGGGGGGGATTGTGTCCCAATGTAATCACATTGAAAAGAAAAAAAATATGGTCAATCTGATTAAAATCAGATCCTTTGATCCGCTCAAATAGATCGCTGCAGATCTGAAGAAATCCTGGTGACCGTTTTAAATATTAAATTTTTGACCAGCGAGATCGTACATAAGCGACATTCGGGAAAATGAATATAGAAGTGAGAGTAGATGTGGAGTAGATCTTTTCAATTCGTAAAAAACAGAGTTAAAAACAAGGCAAAAGCAAGTATTATAGTATGTCTGACGTCATGGCGTCACACAGTTCTAGATTTAACCCGGGTTTATTTATGCAGTCGTTCCATTAAATTGTTTAGATAGTTCGATGGTGGTAATTTCGATACATGCATAATCTTCGAAGATGCATGTAGTTCGGCCCAGGAGGAAATGCGCTTTTAGTCTCTTGTAAGGTGACCTGAGTAAACTCAGGTGACCTATTGCTATCCGTTTTCGTCCGTCATCCTGTGTTACCATTTGAACATTTTCAGCTTCTTCTCTGCAATCACTCAACCAATTTCCACCAAATTTGGCATAAGGTATCTTCGGGTGAAGGGGAACAAAAATTATGAATTTCATGGTCCCTGCCCCCCTGGGGCCGGAGGGGTGGGGCCAAAACCACCACAATTAATGCAAACTTTATAAATCTTTTAAAAAGCAGTCAAACTGTTAGATATATGTAATAACCATTGAGTCCTCTACCAAAATTGTGAAATTCATGGCCCCAGGGTCAGGAATTCTAGTGCTAGGGCGGGGCTCTAATGATTATATAGTGAAAATGCATTATTTATTTAAAAATCTTCTTCTCTGCTCCTGGGTATTAAATAAACTATCTAAGTATATAGTTATAATGGGTAAGAGTGCCTCTTCCAACATTGTGAATTTTATGGCCCCAGGGTCAGGGGTTCTGGTGTTAGGGCGGGGCTCTATTGATTATATAGTGAAAATGCATTATTTATTTAAAAATCTTCTTTTCTGCTCCTGGGTATTCAATGAACTAGCTAAGTACATAGTTATGATGAGTAAGTGTGCCCCTACCAAAATTGTGAATTTTATGGCCCCAGGGTCAGGGGTTCTGGTGTTGGGGTGGGGCTCACTTGATTGTATAGTGAAAATGAATTATTTCTTTGAAAATCTTCTTCTCTGCTCCTGGGCATTAAATAAACTAAGTACATAGTTATGATGAGTAGGAGTGACTCTTCCACAGTTGTGAATTTTATGGCCCCAGGGTCAGATTCTCGTGTTAGGACGGATCTCTATTGATTATATAGTGAAAATGCATTATTTCTTTGAAAATCCTCTTCTCTGCACCTGGATATCAAATAAACTAACTAAACTAACTAAGTATATAGTTATGATGAGCAAGAGCGCCTCTTCCAAAATTGTGAAATTCATGGCCCCAGGGTCAGGGGTTCTGGTGTTAAGGCGGGGCTCTATTGAATATATTGTGAAAATGCATTAACTCTTTGAAAATCTGCTTCTTTGCACCTGAGTATTAAAAAAACTAACTAAGTAGAAAGTTATGATCAGCAAGAGTGCCTCTAACAAAATTATGAATTTCATAGCCCCAGGGTCAGGGTTTCTGGTGTTTGTTAGGGCAGGGCTCTATTGATTATACATGTATAGTGAAAATGCAGTTATTTCTTTGAAAATCCTCTTCTCTGTTCCTGGGTATTAAGTAAACTAATTTAGCATAAATTTATAATGCCTCAACCAAATTTGTGAATTTCATGTCACCTGTGGCAGGGGTTTTGCAATTCAGTGTAAGGAGGAGGGGGGAACTCTTTTGATTAAGTAGTGAAAAATACATTAATTCTTTGAAAATCTTGACTTTTGCTCCTGGGTATTATGCTTATGGTCCATTTATATATATTTATGAGGAAGAAAGGTACATCTAGCAAAATGGTTAATTTCATGCCCCCTGGGTAAGAGGTATCGGAGGGGGGGGGTTACATAGTCTGAAAATAAAATAATGCTTTGAAATCTGCTCTTTTGTATTAATCAATTAATTTCATTAATTTATGAAATAAAATGTATGATGAAATTTCCAAAAAGTTTGAAATATGTGGCTCCATGAGGGTCAGTGCTTCCTTTAGGGTGGGGTGCACAACTGGTCATAAAGTGGAAGTGCATTTTCTCTTTGTTATTCTGATCTAACTCTGGGTATTAAGTAAGTAGAATAAGCATGTTAAGTTTATAATTATGATAAGCAATGGTGCCTCTTTCAAAATTGTGAATTTCATGGCTTCTGGTTTGAAACACGAACCAAATTCAATGGTTGGAAAGTTGTTACATGATACTCAGGTGACCTATAAGGCCCGTGGGCCTCTTGTTTACTTTAACTGGAGTATTAGATTTAGCAAAGGCTTGGGCAGGTGGACAAGTTGTTCAATAGAATTATTGTGATAACTTGATCTTGGAAACATTCTATGTTAACCATGGGGATTAATGGAAACATGCTACACACTTAAACAAACAAAAGCATTAGACCTAATTATTATCACATTATGCATTACATAACATTGGCCATTCTGTTATGCATCAGTATCATTCATCTACATCCAGTAAAGTTATTCAGGTCAACTCAATCAGATTAACTAATATATGTTTATTTTCAATGCAAACAACTTTCTACCTTTAGAATTACACATATTCCTAACTTTAAAGACGTTCGAATCAGTCTAATAGCTAAAAAAAAATACGAGAAAAATGATGGTAGTTGATTATTAAACTTTTTGTGTTTAGAAATCATAATTCATAACTGTTCTCCAAATAAAGTTTAGATTTGTGAAATTTTTCTTTTTAAGTTGAATTAGGCACTGGTAAGTATTTGGAGAAGAAAAAAGGCAAACATTTTAATCAGAATCTTTTTAATAAATAAGTTGAAATGTTTATATTACATTTGGGACACAGGCATAAAGAAGGCTGTTTTCTATAGCACAACCATGCATAGAAAAAGAGAAAAACATTTTAATGGGGCAACTGGATTGAACTTATTTTGATTATTAACAGAATAATTCTTTTTATGTGTATAAATAAGTTGATATAATTTTTATGTAATTGTTTATATTACATTTGGGACACAGGCATAGACGGAAAAAGAAGCATTTTTTAGCTGTTTTCATGTTAAATGGAGCAAAGAAAATATAATAAAATGTATTGGCAAAACGGCCTGATTTGGATGGGTTTGAGAGAAATGCATGAAATTTATAGGACAGCTTAAAAAATACCTTGCCATCACACTCGTTAACATTATTCTCATAAACAATTTTAAAATCTATAAATTAAAGAAATTTAGACCACACTCGGAGCAAAATAAAAATTCTGAATCTGTGTAAACAGTTTATTTGAATATATTTAACAGATAAAGAAACGAAAAAATAATTATTGAGGCAAATCAATGTAATTAAGCAGAAAACACCTTAATATTTCAATAATATTTATTTTTTCAATATCTTATTTTGAACAATTTTTCATCCTCATGTGAAAGTTAAAAAATATTTCATACAGTTCAACTTTTGCCATAGTTTTAGAAATCCGTGTTCACAACTGTCACAGATTGTAATTTTCCTATTTTGATATATTAACATTAAATAATCATCATTTCGGGAAAATAGCAATATACCGGCAAGGAAAAAAATTAAGTTTAATTGCAGGGGTCATAGTATTACGCTTTGGTTCACGTCAAATCATGGCTACTTTTTTTATTCGGGCATTTTGATTGGAGCTGAATTTTTTTTATATACAACATGTAAAATGACCAGATTTATTAAAATTTTGCTGATTTTTCTGTATACTGTCAAGAGTGGGGACAAACATTTCAAGCAAAGAAACAAACTTGCGTGCCTTGCTGGATGGCTATGTATTTTTGGGTACTAAAATCTTTATAAAGAATGGTTTTACAAGATATCTCAGAAGTTTGTTTTGAATTAGTTACATCTACTCAAACTTGCGCATTTTTGGTAAGAATATATAGCAGAAATTAATCCTTTGTGACACAGTAAAACCAAATTTTGTACTTAGAAATATTGTAGTCTAAGAATTAAGGTTTTATTTCGTGAGTTTAGACGGAAAATGAGAAATAATGGCATTTTTCGGCCGTCATTGCCGTTCGTTCATGTTAAATGGAGCAAAGAAAATTAGTCCAGATTTCCTCTAAAATAAATTATGTTGGCCACACCACGGCCTGATTTGGATGTATCGGGTTGAGAGAAATGCATGAAATTTATAGGACAGCTTAAAAAATACCTTGCCATCACACTCGTTAACATTATTTACTCATAAACAATTTTAAAATCTATAAATTAAAGAAATTTAGACCACACTCGGAGCAAAATAAAAATTCTGAATCTGTGTAAACATCGGTTTATTTGGAATATATTAGTAACAGATAAAGAAATCTGGTCGGAAAAAATAATTATTGAGGCAAATCAATCGTAATTAAGCAGAAAACACCTTAATATTTCAATAATATTTATTTTTTCAATGCCCTTTTTAACCCCACCCCCCAACCTTTTGACAAAAACTATTCCTTTCGCCCTGTTATAAAAAGCAAACTTATTTTGAACAATTTTTCATCCTCATATGAATCAGTATGCATCCATTAAAAAATTAAAACGAAAAAACCGCACAAGTATAACGCGCAAGACAATTACGTACATACTGTTCAACTTTTGCCATATTTTTAGAAATCCGTGTTCACCGCGAAGCCCCCTGTCACAGAGTTTTGCCCGTAATTTTCCTATCTTGGGACGGATTTTTATAAAACTTGGTAAATACATTAAATAATCATCATAGATCGGGAAAATAGCAATATACTGGCAAGGAAAAAAAATTTAAGTTTAATTGCAGGGGTCATAACAGTATTACGCTTTGGTTCACGTCAAATCATGGCTGACGCAAAATAATCCCGGAATCTTCCCTTCCGATTCGGGCATTTTGATACGAGACTGGAGCTGAATTTTTTTATGAGATGAAAAACAACATGTAAACTTCCTGTATTGACCAGATTTATTAAAATTTTGGGGCGTGCTGATTTTTCTGTATACTGTCAAGAGTGGGGAGTGATTAGGCCCTGGACTAGATTTTCAAGCACCTGCTCGACTTCGACCGAAACAAACTTGCGTGCCTTGCTGGATGGCTATGTATTTTTGGGTACTAAAATCTTTATAAAGAATGGTTTTACAAGATCTGAAAAGGAAACTTCTCAGAAGTTTGTTTTGAATTAGTTACATCTACTCAAACTTGCGCATTTTTGATAAGAATATATAGCAGAAATTAATGCTGTTGTGACACCTTTAGCAGGCTGCAGAAACTAGGTCACGAATTTTCCATTCGTTTATCATCGGGCATCTCACTTCTGTAACTGAATTCCGCGATACTTCCAAAATCTTTTAAGTGAACATTTGATTGGATAATTGAAAGGTCACAAGGAGATGACCCGGAATGGGGTTTCTTCAGATCCTGCGATGTATGTTAGTGGATCATTAATGATTTTAATCAGATGGAATATGGTACCGGTACAATAATCTGTGTATCCTTTTTCACCAATTTAAAGTCTTAGGAATATTTCAAAACCAAATTTTACAATTTCTTTTTTAAATCAGTTTTTACCAAATTGCGTAAAATTTTTTATACCTAGTATTATACATTATTATTTAAAAGGCCAGTATGAGCAGAATATGTGTAATCCTAAGAACACAAGTTGTGCCCCATGTGTACAGCGTCTACCTAGTTGTGTTGGTTTACCTAATGGCAGAAACTATAGGCCAGGACATCAATGGACAGCAGATTACATTATCTGCTACAAGAACAGAACCATTGATTTAAACAGATGCTCTGGAATTCACCAATATTTCCATCCTGCTCAAAAGAAATGCACGAGTGATGTAGCAAAAGGTGAACTTTTCAACGATTGCTTGTTTTGCTTTTATCGGATTTATTTTTTGTTTCTTCATTTCATATAAATTATATGTAATTTACCCCCGGTCCGAAGGAGAGGGGGTATACTGTTTTACCCTTGTGTGTCCGTCCGTCCGTCTGTCTGTCTGTAACAAATTTTCGTCGCAGTTTTTTCAGCAACTACTCATCGCAGATGCTTGAAATTTTAACACAATCTTCTCTGAGGCATGCCATATTTGTTCTAATCCGATGTCAACTTCCTGTTTATCCGTGCGTTTCTTTGAGGCATGCCATGTGGTGGGATTTATTCTTGTTCAAATCTGATGTCAACTCCCTGTTTGTCCAAGCGTCTGTCTATTTCATACATGTTATCATACATAACAAACTTTTGTCACAGTTATCTCAGCAACTACTCAGCGCATATGCTTGACATTTAAGCACACTCTTTCATGAGGCATATTATATGTTGGGATTAATTTTTGTTCAAATCTGATGTCAACTTCCTGTTTGTCAGTGCATCTGTCCGTTTCATAAATTGACAAATTTTCGTCACAGTTTTTTCAGCAACTATACTCGTAACTGATGCTTGAAATTTTAGTACATGCTTTGTTGAGGTATGCAGTATGGTGGGATTTATTTTTATTTGAATCTGATGTCAAATTCCTATTTTCCCATGCATATAGCCGTAACGTTTACTAACATGATATTTACTGGCCGCCAGGAGACGGTCGGTTATTTGATATGAAAGTTTGAAGTCGCCGTGCGTTTCTGCGGAGTTAAAACAATTTAAATAAAAAATATTTAATAACATTCATATAATAGTGTATTAAAAAGAGTGTCTAAATATTTAACAAAACGCACAATAACCATAAAATTTTTATAAACAACGGGAGTAAATATTTCATCCAATCCTGATTGCCAAACTTTGACATGACAGAGGCGCGGAGAAAATTAGGACATTTGTTGGGCATAGTCTATAGCAAAGACCGCGTTATATATCAACAATTTTACTTTCTCTTTTAAAACAGGATTTGTTTTACGTATTTATTTTAAATTGACATGTACACATGAAAATATATAAACATTTTCTACAGAGAATTTTCAAAAATATCGTTAAATGTTAATTTATTAAACGACAGAATATATCGAGATTTTGCTCTAGCAGACAAGGATAACGCGTGTTTTACAATGTGCCAAGAATTTTCCCGCTACATCTCGAAGAAGCTGAAAGAGAAGAGATGTAGTGGCGGATCTAGAGGGACTTTTTTTTGCGTTTTTATTAAAATAAAACTACATGTATCTCTAGTTGTAGATAACTTTAAACTTTAGTTTTAATTTTTTAATGTAAATGCTGCTTAAACATCAAACTTCCACCAGACTTCGTTTGTACTAAACTGATTGTGGTGACGCAGAGGACCAGGGGTAGTTTGCTTATACATGTTATGCTAAACATTTATTATATACATGTATGAAGAAAATCATTCAATGTCGTAACAGATAAATATATACGATATTATAAAAACATATCACGCATTTCAGTTTTTAATTGCTTCATGAAAGTAACAATTAATTAATTGGTTTGCGGCCGATTTTTGACGCTTGTGTCAATATATGTTTCTTGTGCATATTCACATCAGAGCGGGGGTATTACTAGTGAGCATTGGCTCACAGATTTCTTGTTTTTTTTTCCTCTTCAGGAGATGTAGACAATTTCTGCAAGTCAAATCCTACTGCTGTGATGAAAAGCTTTGATAATTGTGCACAGTATATCAACTGCACATCAAAAAACTCAAAATTGGGAAATTATAGACATGAATGTGCATATCCAGATTTATTCTCTGATGTTACGTTCAATTGTGAAAAATTCCAAAGTGTTGTGTGTAAGAACAGAACTGAACCACAAGCACCATGTAAGATTTTTGTGTTTGGATGTTTGTTTAAATGTACAGTCTGTGATAAGATGCATTAATTATTGACGGTTTATCTACACTACAGAGTCTACTCATAAATGAATCCATTTTTAATAGGTCAATATGAGCAGAACCTATGTTCACTTGGAGATATGTCTTGTAAACCTTGTTCTGAGAGACTGCCAAGCTGTGTGGGAAGGAATGATGGAGCGCAGTCATTCTTTGGCAGGGAATGGACAAGTTCTTATGTCATCTGTCTTCAGAATAGAACAATTGATATTCATCACTGTACACAGACTGCCATATTTAATCCCCAAATACATCAATGTGTCAACGGAATTGATCAGAGTAAGGATTTTTTAATACAGTGGTCATGGATCAAAAGAAGTTTTCTGATTAAAATGTGTCAGCTGTCTGGTAAATGCTAAACAACTTTATAATCCTCAAAACCACTTCTAAAATAATCAAAGCTTTGCGCAAAAAAGTATCTCTAGGAAAAAATGTTTACAAGTTTGTTCCAATAAGGTGAATTCACCATGCATCGGACACATACCTAGCATCGGACAACTTTAGACAATAAACTCTCTTTCAACTTAAGAGTTCCGTGTATTTATTTGTTTCTGTCTTGAAGCTGAAGATTTAAATTTTTTAATGATACCGATTGTTATTATCGTTTTGTGATTAAAATACCCCGAGAATGGCCTTGAAGTTACGTCATATTTTACATCATCAAAGAGGAATAACCAAAAATTTATGATTTTGCGATTTTTAGAGTTATCGTTCTTAAAATTCGACTTCAACGGAACGAGTCAGACTTTGGTGAATAAAGTCAAAGATTGGTAATTTTACCTAAGGAATCACTGTCTAGTTAGTGTAGTATGCCAGGGCATCAACAATAGTGGGAAACATGGGATAATTTGCATAACGGGCGATGTCCCTGGCATACTATACTAACTAGACAGTGATTCCTTATATTTCCATTTCATTGTGAAATAAAATTGTAGATTAAGACTTTAAAAACGCAGACATATAGCTTTAAATTACACGAGGATTTCCATCCCAGTTTCAATAGTACTCGCCCACTGACGTCAAACACAACGGCAGCCGCACGAGATTTTCATGCATATTTGGCCTCCTTAGCGTCAGACTCAGAGACAGATGCGCACGAGATTTGCATGCATATTAGGCCTCCTAAGTTCCTGACCTATTGACCTGCCTAATTTACATTCCGGTAGAATTATCAAGAATTTAACTCCGTTAACTTTCAAAGAGTTATCACAGAGAGGAAAATTAGAAATGGAAATTTCACTTCAATGTTCGTATAATTCTTTTTAGAGCTGGTTTTCACTAGAATGTTCATTTCTCCGTACATCGGACACAAATTAAGCATGCATCGGACACTTTCCGATGCAAAGGTTAGCACTACCATTTTCATACAGAACCCAGCTGACAGCTGTTTTTTGCGGAAATAGAAAATAAAAACTCTATATTTTCAGTCAAAATACAAGTTATCGATATATGACGTCTTGAATTTGACTCAATTTATTTCTACAAACCAGAGTATGATAAACCATGAGAAAAAGGCGCGAATTACCGCATTATAAGCGTTTTAAAGCATTTCTAAGGCAGAGGGAGGTCTCTTGAATCGTTCTACATTTGTGCAACGATATCGTCAATAAAATTTAAGTTGAGTGTTATTTCTTAGATAAAAGATAAAATATTATCCATATCAAGGATTTTAAAGCACTAAGATAAAGGCATGATATTTTTCCGGTCTAAAAACCGTCTGTCCAATGCATGGTAAACAATGTCCGATCCATGGTGAATTCTGAGTTATTCCTAAAAACTCGATTTTTGAGGATATTTTCTCAATAAAGGACATATAATTGTGTCCCAAATTGATATTTTAATCACAAACTAAATGTAAAGCTCCGTTTTGATAATTTTCCGTCGGTAGCGATATCGCTAGAACTTGTTGAAGTACAAGGGTGTCCGATGCATGATGAATTCACCCTATAGGTTTATGATCCTTTAAGGTGGAGATAATCAAGTATAATCAGTAGAAATGTAGGGTTGATACAAATATTTGATGCCATATTGCAGACAATACATGTATATATAAAGCCACAAATCAAATTAAACAAATATAAATCTGTCTTTCCAAAGGATGATTGAACATGTTGAATATGTAAACTATTTATGGGCTCGAAGGTCTGCATATCTCAACTATTTTAGGCCTTGTTGCTCTTGAGTAGGTCTTTAAAGTTTGCGTATGACCTTGTTTTGACGTTAAATTTGACGGAAACACACAGGGCCAAATAAGGAAAAAGTGAACCTTGTTCTTTGTAAACTTATGGCTTTCAAAGGCTTTTGCTGTTAAGACGATGCTTTATTTATGTCTCAAATGACTTTGATTGTTTAATAGATGTATATGAAAATAAAGAATTTTAATCAGTTTTCACCTCAATGGACGAAAAACCTTTTTCTAACAACTGGTCCCCTAGAGGCCCTCTCACACTTAGCATATCACCGAAGTTGATTTTTTTAAAAAAGTGAGATCAATCGTGACGGTCAAGTTCAAAGAGTCAGAAATTATAGCATTCTCGGAAATATCTTGTCACAGGTAATGCACATGTCAAAAATGAAAGCCCCATCTCTTCTCAATCAAACATTAAAAGGAACAAGATGCGTTTGTGAAACATTGATGACTCCTTATGGCAACATAGCGAATATTAAACTTTTCTTAAATGCAAATTAAATATATTGGTACTCAAAAATTGTCTTTATTACAAGATATACGATTGTGAGATATGAAAGCCCTAGCACCACCTGTTAAAAAGTTACAGCCAATGATAAGTTTTTGAAATGTAAGTCAAACTCAAATGTCAAAGGGTAAAAAATTTTGGTTTCTTAAGAAAGGTCTTTTCACAAGTATTACATATGTGAAGTATGAAGGATATGGAGATAACGAACAGTATTCAATCTCAAATTCCATGAAGTGGCCCTTACCGTTCAAAAGTTATGCCAAGATTAAATAATTTAAAAAGTAGGTCAAACTCTATGGTCAAGGTCAGAGGGTCAGAGTTCTTGTTATCCAAAGATCTTCTAACAAGGATTACATATTTGAAGAATAAAAGCCCTAGCCTTTATCATTCAAAAGTTTTGGCCAAGGTTAAAGTTTTTAAAACGTAGGTCAAACTCCAAGATCAAAGTGCTTGATATTCAATGAAAGGTCTTGTCACAGGGATTAAATATATGAAGTATGAAAGCCCTGGCCCCAACCCTTCAAAAGTTATGTCCAAGGTTAAAGTTTTTGAAAAGTAGGCCAAACTCCAATGTGAAGGTCAGAAGGTCAAAGTTTTTGTTATCCTATGAAATATCTTTTTACAAGGATTGCATGTGTGAAGTATGAAAGCCCTAGCCCTTATCGTTTAAAAGTTATGGCCAAAGTAAAAAATTATTCAAAAGTACGGAAATCTTCAAGGTCAAGGTCAAAAAATCAAAGTTGTTGGTATCCTTTGAATGGTCTCGCTACAAAAAATACATATGTGAAATATGAAAGTCTTAGTGTCTATCATTCAAAAGTTATGGCTAAAGTCAATGTTAAAATTTTTTGCGTAAAAGTGGGTCAAACTCCAAGGTCCAGGTCAACTTTGGTGGTACCCAAAAAGGGCCTTGTCGCAAGGAATACACATGTGAAATTCATAGCTCCACTAAATCAAAAGTTATGGGGAAGTTAAATACCGGTACATGTATCGCTAAAGATAATGTTCATCAGTAGAGTTACTTCCCCTTTTTGTGACGTCATAATTAAGAGACATTCGACAGAATAAAGTTATATAAGTAGAGTAACGTGCTCTTCATTATCTAAAAGAATGGCTTAATATTCTAGGGAACAGAAATGTTGATATTCCAGGGTTACGTGTAGATATAGTGTTTATATGTTTGAGCCAATAAATTAGAGTACGCGATTTGATTATTTTCTTGTCGACATATTCTGTATCATTCCATGCCGGTAAGTGAAAGTGGAAATGAAAATTACACAACCGACCAAGGATCATCGCAGAACCCAGCGCATGTACACATCTGGAATTTATTTCCTTTTACACAAACGCCCAATATTTTTGCAAAATATTTTTAGGAAAATTGATTTTATGTGTTGTTTCTTATTCCTCATACATATACATGTACGACCAGGACTCTCACGATGGGCTGACTAGTTACGTTAGGATGAAACTGCAAGTGCGCTTGCGTTAATCGGAATTCTGGGAAAAAGATTTGCACAATTTTTTCCAACCAGAGGGCGTGCTTCTACACGCACACACGACCTCGATCTATTTATAGACTGCATTGTTCTTCGTCGTTCTCGACGAAAATTTATGACATAGACTATTCAGCTTCTAGATGGAATATTTGTCAGTTTTCAAATGATACTGTGAAAATATTTCTTTGCTTCTAATAGATGATAAGTACATTTATTCCCTCAATCGCCATTGCAAGCCGAAGATTTAAATTGTGTATTCCTCTGGATGCCTGATGCAAGACTCCCTCGATCAGTATTCAATACCTTGCATAAGACATGTACGGGTCGGAATTCACACAACAATCCACTTGCCACAAAGGTCCCAAAATAGTGAAAGAAAAAAGATCAATTTCTCTTCAGTCTAATGATGGAAGTTATGAAAACATCAGCTAGAAGACCACTGTAAGACAGAACCCTGAAAATTCTTATAATTTACATGATGATAGACGTGTAAGTGCCGCTTGTGCACGTGAACCGCGCCCTCATGTGAGACCACAGTGGAAATGCGATAGCTGAGAGAACTGTGCTGATTTATAGACTGGGTCACCACCCCCCTCCCCAATGAAAGGAGAGAGGGGGAATGGATTCCAGTTTTTTAATCTATAGTTTTGCTATGATGGTAGACATCATCAAAGACATTTTGTGTACATGTATACGTACTGCATGTATAAACATATTTTGAATTTCCATTTAAAATTGTTTTCTGTGGCGTTCATTACTTTTTTGGAAGCAATTCTTTTCTTTCCTAATAACACTAAAATGGATGCTCAAACTTAGAAATTAAATTAAATATAGATGCAGTATGCCCCCCCCCCGTCATGCATTGCCTCGAAATGCACACAAATAAAAACTGTTATTTAATAATATTTAAAAACGATCTAACACAAAGTCTACCTTCCTTTTATTCATCATAATCTGCATATTATTTTTATAGAATTTAACGTGATCTTAGTTGCCATGGTGGCTTTTGTTCATTTACCGGTTTAAGGTGAACTTTCTCTGATGTCTGCGCCGAAGAGAATTTATTGGAGATCATTGTAATGGTCACGATGCAGAATTTAAAAAAAAATATTCTACGCTTTATTATATATTATGTATGTGGCATTATGTTACAAATAAGAAAACGATTACACTAATTTAACTTTTCTTACAAAGGCATTTATTACATTTAAGGAACACAACATGATGGATAGATCAAATCATAAACCATTACAAAACAAGAAAGAAACTTTCTGTATTCCAGTGGCTGACACTCAGCTTTTTTAAAAAAGCTAACCTTGTATGAAGTGATAGTTGTAGAAAATATAACGACGCGTTTGATTGTGTATAGGGTGTGAGTGTGTACGCGGATGTGGCACACTTTGCATCGGAATCAATGTCAAATGCTGTCTTGATTTAAAGATATTCTCTTTGTGATTGGATGCTCTGCTTTGCGATGCCCTTGTTTGTATAAACATCTTCATTCGTATCCTTTTTAGTTGGCAGACAGTCTAAATGCATGGTTATGATAAGCAAGGATGCTTTATCAGAAATTTTGAAGTTCATAACCCCTGAGTCAGGTGTTTTAGTGTTTAGGGTGGGTCTCTTCTGAATATACAATGTATAATATACCTGTATTACTTTTATAAGAATAGAATATTTTATGCTTTCTTCCCTTACAGCCAAAATGTAAGGGTGAGTGCATTTAGAGGTGAACACCTAGGCATGGGTTTAACTTTTATATTTTTCAGTTTTTGTTTAACATCCCTTTTAAGGGTCCTCCACACACACACCCAACTTATGTTTTCATATTACTGAGCATTACTATTAACAAGCATATCAATCTTTAAAAACCCGCCAGGAATTAAAACATAATTCATACTGATTTTTTGAAATAATAATTTCACAAGTTTCAAGATATTTTTCCCAAGGCGTTTTCATAGCATAACAAGATGTGTTAGTGAAACACTAATGCCGCCGTATGACAACATAGCAAAGATTAAACTTTTCTTACAGGCAAATTTAATTAATTGGTACCAAAAGTAGGGTATTCTCACTGGAAAAATAATTGTGAAATTTGAAAGTAGGCCAATGTTAAAGTTTTTTCAATAAATACAAAAAATCTCCAAGGTCAAGGTCAAAAAGTCAAGGTAATTGGTATCCAATGAAAGGTCTTGCCACATAGAATACTTAGGTAGAGCAGGGAAGCCCTAGCCTTAAGTTATGACCAAGATAAGAATATATGGCCAAGGTTAAAATTTTGTAAAAGTAGGTCACACTCCAAGTTTAAGGTCAAAAGGTCAAGGTAATTGGTATCCAATGAAAGGTCTTGCCACATAAAATACTTAGGTAGAGCATGGAAGCCCTAGCCTTAAGTTATGACCAAGATAAGAAGTTATGGCCAAGGTTAAAATTTTGTAAAAGTAGGTCACACTCCAAGGTCAAGGTCAAAAGATCAAGGTAATTGGTATCCAATGAAAGGTCTTGCCACATAGAATACTTAGGTAGAGCATGGAAGCCCTAGCCTTAGGTTATGACCAAGATAAGAAGTTATGGCCAAGGTTAAAATTTTGTAAAAGTAGGTCACACTCCAAGGTCAAGGTCAAAGGGTCAAAGTTCTTGTTATCAAATAAAAGGTCTTGTCTCAAGGATTAAATATGTAAAGTATGAAAGTACTAGCCCTAACCCTTTAAAAGTTATTGTCAAAGTTTGTTTTTAAAAGTAGGTCAGACTCTAAGGTCAAGGTCAAAGTTCTTGGTATCCAATAAATGGTCTTCTCACAAAGATTACATATATGAAGTATGAAAGCCCTATCCCTTACCAGTTTTTTCACAAATACAGAAATCTACAAGGTCAAAGGGTCAAGGTTGTTGGTATCCAATGAAAGGTCTTTAAACAAAGAATACATATGTGAAGTATAAATGTTCTGGTATTTACTGTTCAAAAGATATGGCCAAAGTAATAGTTTAAAATTTTCATCTGAAAGTGAGTCAAACTCCAAGGTCAAAAGGTCAAATTTGGTGGTACCCAAAGAAAGGTCTTGTCAAAAGGAATACACTTGTGAAATATGAAAGTCATGGCTCCACTAAATCAAAAGTTATGGGCAAGGTTAAAGTTTTTGCGAACAAACAGACACACAGACGGACGGACGGACACGACAAAAACTATATACCCCTGAAACTTCGTTTACGGGGGCATAACAAATTTTGTCTTACCTTTTCGTATATTTTCAATCTCACAGAATAACCATAAAAACTTACTTTTATCGATCAACATATTTTTTTTTTTTAGAAAAATTTGTTTTATTTATAAAAATACATAAAAATCATTTTCTCTGAAATACAACTAAAACAAGATGTGTTTGTGAAACACTATGCTCCCGGCGGCAACAAATTTCAACAAAAATATTTTTAGCAGATGTCAAAGTCAAGGTCACAAGGTCATTAACCTTTGTGTCATTTGAAAGACATTCATTGGTGGAGTATGCACACTAAATATGAAGTCTCTATCTCTCATGCTTCAGAGGTTATGGCGAAAGTTCGTAAAAACTATTTTTAGCATACAGGTCACAATCAAGGTCACAAGGTCATGACCTTGGTGTCATTTGAAAGAGCTTCATTAGTGGAATATGCATATGAAGTCTCTATCTTTCATGGTTCAAAAGTTATGGTGAAAGTTCGAAAAAGCTATTTTTAGCAAATAGGTCACAGTCAAGGTCACAAGGTCATTGATCTTGGTGTCATTTGAAAGAACTTCATCGATGGAGTATGCATGCCAAATATGAAGTCTCTGTCTCTCATGGTTCAAAAGTTATGGCGAAGGTTAAAGTTGACAACAGACAGACAGACAAACAGATAAACAGACAAACAGACAGACAGGACAAAAACAATATACGCCTCGGATCTATCGATTCGGGCGCATAATAAAAATCAATGAAGACTCTTTTTGTAGAGAAGAAACAACAATGAATTAGATTACATCAAACAATTGAATTAAAATTAAATGCACTGATGAAAAGAATATATTTTCAAAATCTTTGGTATCAAAGTTTCTTTTGGGAGTTATCTAAAGTACTTTTGAAGCAAAGCTTTTTGTTATATTTATTTTTGTTTCACGTACATGTGTATCTTTGTAACTTTGATTTTTTTTCCATCTAGGAAACATTGATTCTTTCTGCAAGGCCAATCCTCAAGCTATTAAACCTCATCCTACAGACTGTGCCCAGTATGTAAACTGTTCACATTTTGGCACACAATATGGAAAGCATATACAGGAATGTACCTATCCAGATTTATTCTCTTCGACCTCATTGACATGTCAGCAGTTTGAGTCTGTTACGTGTGCTCCGAAAAATGAACCACAGGCTCCTTGTAAGTATTTTTACATGGTATTATCATGCTCTATACAAGAACTTTCTGTACCTAATAAACTCTTTAAATTTAAAATTTAATTCAACATTTCTATGATTTAAAACAGTGAATTATAAAAAAAAAAATATTTAAAATCTTTAATCTTTAATATGATATGTATTCTGACTTGGTAATAAACATATTCGTAATTGTTTATATATTTACTCAAAATTTGTATTTTAAGGATTTCCATCCCTAATAGGACCACATTTTCTACCCTGAAAATTCCAACAAGTACATAGTACTCTGATATTTTTAAATTAAATCATTTTATATAAGTAGAGGATTGCCCGCGGGAAGGGTTCCAAAATTTTACTAACAAAGCAATAATATTACTAGTAATTAATTAAAAAAACACAGCTTTTAAGGATATGGGGAAAAGCATTTAATGAAAATAAAAATTCAAACACAATAAAATAAGATCATTTAATACTGACAAGCCAGAAAAAAGGGGGGTGGGCATTGTTATACAAATCTTATATGGGGGGGGGGAGGTTAAATTCTTTCATAACATGTACCGTTAAATTTGACAATATTCCAACCAGAAGTGGGGTAGAAAACAGGACTTTCAATGAAGATTTCTATACTAAGATATGTCTGGTAAAAAGGAGGAGGGGGGCAGCTCGCCCCCCCCCCCCCCTTCCACCCGATCAGGCCCTTATGTTACGTGCCTCTGTACACTTAACGTTATACTTTAGTCAATAATGATGTAAACTTTAAGTTCTCCAGATTCTAGACTTATGCAAGTAAATCCCTCTAAATTTCGGCATAGCATTCTTTTAAAGAAAATTTCGCTGGCAAACTTATTTTATAACTCCAGAAGAGGGGGATATACTGTTTTACCCTTGTTGTGTGTGTGTAAGGAGCGTGTGTGTGTGTGAGAGAGAGAGGGTGTGTGTGTGTGAGGGTGTGTGTATGTCCGTAACACATTATTTTCGCAGTTTTTCAGTAACTACTCATTGCATATGCTTGAAATTTTAGTACAACCTTTGTATCTGAACTTATGTACAATAGTGTGAGATGAAAGAGTTCGCAAGATGGTCGCCGTTGTAAACGTTAATAAAAAATTGCAAATTTTTTAAAGGGGCTTATAAATCAAAAGAAGTAATTTTCTTACTTTGAAGGCTCAGTATTTGGTAAATCTGTTCTTTAGATCGCAGCACAGTACGTATTCTCCTCGGAAGACTTTAAAAGACGTATAATGTAATGAATTACCGGGAGGCTACTCCAAATTTCAGCCACGATGCGTTTCAGGTCATCACTGTTTTTGCATGATTTCATTAAACGTTGATTAATCTTGTGTTTTAGTACTTTTCATGCAATTTGTATACTAGTAATACATCTTCGCAATCCAAGGGTTTTCGGTCCGTTTCACTACGGACTGAAAACCCTTGTCTTGCGAATCAAGAGTTAGCGTACGTAGTTCTTCTTTATCAAAGATGAATACCCCCCCCCCCCAAAAAAAAATAAGATAGGGTTATGAGGAATAAATATTATTTATTTCGGATAAAATGGGTCGCGAATATTAAATTATTGACGCAGAATTACATCACTGCAAATCGGAGCGAGACCGGAAGCTGCAACGACGCCGTCATTTTGCGAACTCATTCATGTCATTCTACCGTACATCACATCAGAGAGCATGTACATCACAGCGGGGGTATCGCTTGTGAGTATTGACTCACAGACTTCTTGTTTAGTATTTGAAAAATGTGAAGCGCCAACCAACAAAATTGAACAACCTTAAAATTACAAAAATGCAAAGATACAATTTTCAAACAATATGCACAGAAGTAAATAAAAAATCAAGGACCTCCCTGGCTAGTTGTGATCAAACTTTGCATTGTTCTACAGGTGACTATCTACAGAATGCATGTGCAGTTGGAGACGCTAATTGTCAGCCTTGTCCTAAACGGCTGCCCAGTTGTATTGGTTTGCCAAATGGACCCAATCCACATCCATATCATTTGTGGGGCTTCAGTTTTATCACTTGCTTCAAGAATCGTACGCTGTATGTTGACAGATGCGCAGATGGGAAATTCTTCCACCCTAGAGAAAAGTCTTGTCAACAAGCTGTCAAAACGGGTACTATTTCATAAAATACAACTGTCGGTGGTGTAAAATTCTTATTTAAAAACATTGGAAATTATGATAAGGTTAAAATACTTGGAATAGAGGTTGTTTGTGACCAGGCATTGTAAAATAACTCTATGTCACTTATTTTTGTATAGACCACAAGGCCCCGTGGTCATGAAACATCTTAAGCTTTAGTCGAAATGATCATGTTCGACTAAAACTTTGATTAAGCCAAGCAGACAAAAGGACGACCGAGTGAGTGAGTGAAGCAGAAAAAAATTAAAGTATTTGTCAATATTGCTTCACTTAAGAGTTGTTATCTGCAAATTTAGATATTCATTCAATAATTGATAAACATATAACAGGTGATTGAAACTTTGACTAAGTCTTAGTCTATTTTACTTTCATGATCCTGGGACCAGGTGGAAAGATTCAAATTATCGTCGCCTCAGCTTTTTTGTTTCAAAATGAAGTTTGGGTTCATAGTATATATATGTTTGTTGCCCATTAGTCTTTTATTTTTATGGAAGACGTTAAATCTTATTAGCACTTTTTGTTTATGGAAAAAGTCGTATTGTTATCATCCTTTGACCTCACCTGAGCCAAAATTAATATGGTCTACTCAGTGTCCGTCTGTCTTGTGTTAATAGTAAACTTTCGACAAAAATCACAGGACAAATTTCCACTACACTTGCATCAGAACATCCTTAGGTTTAGGGGATTTTTTTTTTTAATTTATTTGTGTGGGGGGGGATAAAAAGAGAAAATCTAATTTTCCTTTTACTTATGTTAATTAATTACTTAAATCTTTAAATATAATTAAGAAATAAACAACAATGTGAAAAAATTCTCTGGAAAATGAACTTCATTGGTCACATGATAAAATTCTATGAAGCCCGAATGGCTTCTCAGTAGATTATAAAGATCACTTATCTACTAATTTGATAAGTTCGTTTTCCAGTAAACTTTTGAACATTGTTGTTTTTACTTATATTTAAGTTTGAGACTAATTTATTGAGACTTCATTTATTACACGAACGGGCCGCGCTATTGCTATGTTGTGACGCGCAATGACCTAGAGGTTGTGTGGTCTTGAAAGTTCGCTTTGATCCAATATTTGAATATTAACAATGATGTTCAGGAATTTTCTGTTTATAATGTAAGAACAATGATCCCTACTGAGAATTATCTTTCTCATTATATTTTAATTCAAAAGCGGTGATATCCTGTTTAAATTTACATAACTTCAAAGGAATTTCGGGTTAGGGGTAAGTGTGAGTCTAAGCTAATTATATAGTTTTCAAAACATTTTCCCACAGAAGGAAGAAGATCTGTTGCACATCAGTTGATTGAAAAATTGTTATTACCAAGGTTAATGTTTTTTTCATAATTCCGATAAAATTTCTAAGGTCATGGTTATTGGTATCCAATAAAAGGTCTTACCACAAAAATACATGTGTAGTATGGAAGCCCTATCCCTAACCGTTCAAAAGTTATTGCCAAGGATAATGTTTTTCATAAATCTGGAAATGTCCAAGGTCAAAAGGTCAAGGTTATTGGTATCCAATTAATGCTCTTGCCACAAAAAATACATTTGTAAAGTATGATATCTCTAATCCTAACCGTTCAAAAGTTATGGTCAAGGTTAATTTTTTTTAAAAAAGGTCAAACTCTAATGTCAGGGTCAAAGGTCTTGGTATAAAATGAAAGGTCTTGTCACAAGAATTATAAAAATTAAGGATGAAAGCACTAGCTCTAACCCTTTAAAAGATATGGTCAAGGTTTTTTTTAAAGTAGGTCAAACTCCAAGGTCAAAGTCAAAGAGTCAAACCTCTTGGTATCCATTAAATCATCTTCTTACAAGGATTACATGTGTAAAGCATGAAAGCTGTTGACCTTCCTGTTCAAAAGTTTTTTCATTAGTACTTAAATCTCCAAGGTCAAGGTTGTTGGTATCAAATGAAAGGTCTTGCCTCAAAGAGTATGTATGTAAAGTATAAATGTCCCGGTGTCTACTGTTCAAAAGATAAGGCCAAAGTAAAAATTTGAAATTTTTGTGTAAAAGTGGGTCAAACCCCATGGTCAAGGTCAAAAGGTCAGATTTGGTGGTACCCAAAGAAAGGTCTTTTCACAGGGAATGCACATGTGGAATACGGAAGATATAGCTTCACTAAATCAAATGGGCAAGGATAAAGTTTTTGCAGACCAACAGACAAACGGACATGTTAAAAAACTATATACCCCCAAATCTTCGTTTAAGGGGGCATAAAAAGGAGACGAAGATTGTTCATTTGTGAACATGTACATTATATATCATTCAAGGACCAAGAGTGGCCAGTGTAAGATGGTAATAAACAGGTTAAGGAAGCTCTATACATAAACAAAATTTGCTTTTTGGACTTGGAGAAAAATATATCATTTAAAGGTGTGCATATTCACACGATAGCTACGAGCTTGAGATAAAAGATGCCACAGCTAGAGTCTGACACATCCGTTTTATATTTGCTCTTGTCTAGAGGTGTAACAACAAAGTCCTTAGAAAACAAGATGTATTTGTGAAACACTGATGCCCCCGTAGGGCAACAAAGCAAAGGGTAAACTTTTTCTTGTACGCAAATTTTATATATTGATATTTCTTGATATCTCCAAGGTCAAGATCAAAAGGTCAAGGTTATTGGTATGTAATGAAAGGTCCTGCCACAAATAATACATTTGTGAAATATGGAAGCCCTAGCGAACCTTCAAAAGTTATGGTCAAGGTTATCAACTTTGAAATGTAGCTCAAACGCCAAGGTCAAAGGGTCAGATTTGGTGGTACCTAAAGAAAGGTATTGTCACAAGGATGAAATATGTGAAGTATGGATGAACTAGCCCTAACCCTTTAAAAGTTATAGTCAAGGTTTGCTTTCTAAAAGTTGGTCAAACTCTAAGGTCAAGGTCAAAATTCTTGGTATCCAATGAATGGTCTTCTCAGGGATTACATATATGAAGTATGAAAGCCCTATCCCTTACCGTTCAAAAGGCCAAGGTTAAAGTTTTTTCACAAGGACGGAAATCTCCAAGGTCAAGGTCAAAAGGTCATAGTTATTGGTATTCAATGAAAGGTCTTTCCACAAAGAATATATATACATGTATTTAGTATAAATGTCCTGGTATTTACTGTTCAAAAGATAAGGCCAAAGGAAAAGTTTGGAATTTTTGTGTAAAAGTGGGTCAAACTCCAAGGTCAAGGTCAAATTTGGTGGTACCCAAAGAAAGGCCTTGTCACAAGGAATACACGTGTGAAATAAAAAAAGTCATAGCTCCGCTAAGTCAAAAGTAATGGGCAAGATTAAAGTTTTTGCGGACAAACAGACAAACTGAGAGACAGTTCTTATATGCATGTGCATTGTATATGAAATCAAAAGTGTTTATCATATGCATTTTCTTGACATTAATCCTTGTATATATGTTCTATTTCTAATTTTATAAATTTCATAAACTTTTTCTGTAGTTGATGTTCCCGACTACTGCTTTGTCCATCCTGGTGCAGTGCTGCCTGATTTGGACAACTGTGCTTATTTCTTCAACTGTTCATATCCAGAATCACACAAAGAGTGCAAATATCCAGATCTTTTTTCAAGAAAATCCTTATCCTGTCAAGATTTTACAACTGTTAACTGTGAAGAAAGGATTGAACCTCAGGAACCTTGTACTAAAGCTTTAAAAATATTTCATATTACCACTGATTTTTTTAAATCATATGTTTATACCCCCCGCTTCAAAAGCGGGAGGGTATATAGTAATCGGTATTTCCGTCCGTCCGTCCGTCTGTCCGTCCGTCTGTTACGCTTTGGGGTACCCATCTCTTATCCGCAACTCCTCTCATACCACTGAATGAAATTTGATGCAACTTTCACAGAATCTTTATTACATATTGCCATTGTGCACCTCCTACTTTATTTTTTGATCCGACACATATTTTGGGTTTCCCGGCCAAAGGAAAACATGGACTTTTTCACCAGTTAAAACCATATGGGAGGCGGGGGGTATCATTTAGTGAGCTCATCGCTCACAGTACCTCTAGTTCTTTTATATTTCATGACAATGTTTTCAAGAAGAGTTAAACAAACAAATCAAAGAAGATTTCTATTCAAAGCTTTGTTAATAATCTAAACTTCAATTGATCTTCAGTGATCAAAGTTATTTTAATTTGTTTTCTCCCTTACCACGTTCTGCATCTGCGTTACCTCACCTGATCCGATTGCTCAAGTGAGCTTTTCTTATCAAAATATGTCCGTTGTCTGTCGTCGTTGTTCTGGTCGTCGCTGTAAACTTTTCATATTCTCATCTCCTTCCCACGGGCCAATTTCAACCAAACTTGCCACAAAGTATTGTTGGGTAAAGGAGATTCATGTTTCTTCAAATGAAGGGCCACGCCCTCTTCCAAGGCGAAATAATTATGAATTCGTGACAAAATGGCATATTTTAAAAATCTTCTCAACAAGAACCACTAGTACAGGCCAAGGAAAGATGAAACTCATGTGGAAGCATCCTCAAATAGTGTAGATTCAAGTTTGTTCAAATCATAGAATGGTGGGCCACAATGGGGTATCAAAGCAAATTTAACAAAAATATTTTTCTTGAAAATAAATAAGAAAATGGAATATATAGGTAAAAAAAACCTTTTTCTCAGATTTACGGTATATAGGAAAAACCTTTTTCTCACGAATCACTGGCCAGGAAAGTTGAAACTCAGTTTGAAGTATCCTCTGCAAGTGGAGATTCAAGTTTATTCATAGCATGATCCCTGGGGGGGTAGGATGGGGCCACAATGGGGTATCGAATTTTTACATAGGAATACATTGGAAAAATCTTCTTCGCAGGAATCACTGGGCCAGGAAATATGAAACTGTGGAAGCATCCTCTAAAAGTGTTAATTCTAGTTTGTACAAAGCATGACCCTCGGGGTAGGGGGGGGGGGGTCACAATAGGGTATCAAAGTTTTACAAAGGAATACTTAATAAAAACATTTAAAATCTTTTTCTCAAGAACAACTGGGCCAGGTAAGATGAAACTCATGTAGAAACATCCTTTGGTAATGTTGATTCAAGGTTGTTTAAATCATTACCCCTTTAGGTTAGGGTGGAACCACAATGGGGTATCAAAGTTTAATATAGAAATACAAAGAAACAACCTCTAAACATCTCTCTCTGAAACAGCAAAGCCATGATTGGTCATAGTTATATAGAAGCATCCTCTGACAGTGTAGATATGTCTTTTCAAATAATGGACCTTGGGGCAGGATAGGGCACAATGGGGGATCAATGTTTAACATAGGAATACATAAAAAGAATCTTCCTTTAAAATTCTTCTTCTCAAAGTTATATGGAAGCACCTTGTGTAGTATAGATTCAAGTTTGTTCTAATCATAAACCCCAGAGGGAGATTAGGGCCACAATAGGTAATCAAGGTTTTATGCAGGAATACATGGGAAATCTTTAAGGTAGTCCGATCCTCAGGTTTAAAAAAATTAGCAGTTAAGTTAAGTTAAGCATAAAAGTATCTCTGGATCCACAAAGTTATGTTAATTTATCCACACTATTTCATTAAAGTCAAAGATTCAAGTTAATCATATAATATAGGGAAACTTGTCAAATCTCCAATAATTTTGCAGAAAAAGCGAATTGGAATATCAGCAATGAATTTTCTAATTGCTATTTGATCAACAAATATATATTTTAAGTTAAAAATGATAGGTATCCAGGCATTCAGAGAAATTGTCATGATTTTTATACTTATTTGGTATTTCTTGTCTTCTATTTCCGTCATGTATTCTATAATACATAGTGTAAAAGGCTTTTGCTATCATTGCAAGACACCACAAATCACTTCTTATTTCATACCATGCTAATAAGCATTGGCATCTAAGGCTGGATTTAAGAAAATCTTACTTATCTAAAACTGTATTTTTTTTTTTCCTTTACGGGGTACAAATGTCAACTTTTATAAGACTTTTTCTAAGATTTCCAAAAACCTTGAATCTTATAAAGATGAATAAGGCCACACCAATAATTTTTTTGTTCGTCGGACCCGCACGCTTGTATTTAACCGAAACTAGAAAAATAATATTAAATCAAAATTTCCCGCACCATGGAAATTCTGAGCTATTTTCTGGCCCATTTCCGCTCTATTTATCGTATTTTTCATCTGCTTACCCTGCAAATCAGAAAAATATAATTGTCCGCTCAAATTTCTTCACGTTCCGCCTAAAATATTTGTCTACAAAAAGTTATAGTATTATTATTTAACCGCTTGATCGCTCTTACTTTTTTTCATCAAATGTCTGACGAACAAGAAATTAAAATTAAAAACTAAAATGAAAATTGTTGCATGAAAAAAATCATTTTCAAGCTTCATTTTGATGCATTTCAAATTAAATATTGGAGTTATCCTTCCTGGCTCAGGATCGGATATCCTTAAACATTAAAAGAAAATTCAGAATACTATTCCTCCTATAGTTTTGGTATTATCTGATTGTCCATATTGTGTTATTTAAGGAATCACTGTCTAGTTAGTATAGTATGCCAGGGCATCAACGAAAGTGGGAAACATGGGATCCATAATTTGTTTCCCAATACCGTTGATGTCCCTGGCATACTATACCTACTAGACAGTGATTCCTTATATTTCCATTCCATAGTGAAATAAAATTGTAGATTTAGACTTTAAAAGTGTAGACATAGATTTTCATTACACGAGGACTCCCATGCCATTTTCATTAGTCCTCGCCCACTGATGTCAAACACAAATGCAGCCGCACGATATTTACATGCATATTTAGCTTCCTTAGCGTCAGACACAGAGACAGACACGCACGAGATTTGCATGCACATTAGGCCTTCTTAGCTCCTGACCTATCGACCTGCCTAATTTACATTCCGGTAGAATAATTGAGAAATTAACTCCGCTAACTTTCAAAGAGTTATCACGGGAAAAAAATTAGAAATGGAAATATTTCAATATAACTTGGCACACAAAAGACTACACTAAAATACATAAAACTGAGTATCGGTTTTTGATTTCGATGAACGGTGTTGCCGTGGTTACTAAAAATAGAAATTTATGTCAAATCTCGTATTTCAAAATGCTACTCTTCCTACAGTTTTGGTCTGCAGACTGCACTAAAATACATATAAATTCATAGGTCTTTCATTTCTATGAACTATGTTGCCATAGTTACTAAAAATAGAAATTTCTGAACTACTTTCAAATTCTACTCCTCCTACAGTTTTAGTTTGATTGCAATATTACTTAGCTCACAGGTAGACCACACTAAAATACATAAATCGACCGTGATTTCGATGAATGGTGTTGCCGTGGTTACTGAAAATAAAAAAATCTGTGAAATACTTTTAAAATGCTTATCCTCCTCCAGTTTCGGTCTGATTTCATTCTAATGCAGCATGCAAGTAGACTGCTCTGAGATACATAATTGTCTTTATTGCTTTTTTCTGAAATTTTATGTATGTTGTTGTCATGGTAACTAAAATTGAAATTTCTGTAAATTCTTTTGAATACTTTTGCAATCTTGCCACAATAAGAGAATAAATCAAGATTCATTACTGTATTCATGCTCTTGCAAAGTTTCAAGTCCATCTACTACTTTTCTCTTCAATATCATAAGAGCTACAGTCTCGACAGAAACATTTGGTAGTTTGAATATATTCAGTGAAATAACAGTCCAAGGCGAATCAACACCCAAATTATTGTGTTTCAGTGCAAGATCATCATGCGGTCCTTCGGGTGAGATCCCCGTGTCGCAGTAGGTGCTGGCACGCAAAAGATCCCTCATTGCTCAATGGCCCTGGGTGCCGATCATAGGATAAAATTTGCATCTCTCCACCGGCCAAATGGTGGTGTCTCCATATGAGTGAAAAATTCTCGAAAGCGACGATAAACGACATACAATCAATCATTAGGTCATTCATGGTTGGGCACTTTCACAGATTCAAGTTCAAATTTAGAAAATAGAGACATTGTAATTGAACGATCGGTGGTAAAGGGCATCATGCACCGAATACAAGAATTTGGATCACTTCAGTGAAGGAAAAGTTTTTTGAAATATGTACCTTTGCTTTTCAATGAGGGTTTACCTTGTTTTCATTACAGTTTCCGTCATTTTGGTCTGCATGTGTGTTTATTAACGAGTGTTGCTAAAACGCGGAACGGAAAGCTGAACGAAATATATTATTTTAGATTTAATCACATAAAATACACACATTTCATCATTAACGATATATCTTATACATATTCAATCCCCAACTATTGAATACAAACTGATTTAGTCATGTTCAGTCTCTTATTAACGAAAATCACTGACATATTAGTGACGTAAAATCGAATTTGAAGGTAAGGTGATTCAACTTCCCTGAAAAGAATTCGACAATTAAGGAAAAAAAAAACGATTGTTTGATTTGGGTAGGGGGATAATTCCAACCCAAACATCTTTCAGTACTATTTTTTTTTAGCTCAACTGAGCCGAAGACTCAAGTGAGCTTTTCTGATCACGTTTTGTCCGTCCGTCTGCATGTCTGTGTAAACTTTTCACATTTTTCGACTTCTTCTTAAGAACAACTGGGCCAATTTTAACCAAACTTGGTACAAAGTATCCTTGGGTAAAGGGAAATTTAAATTATTAAAATGAAGGGCCAGGTCCTCTCACATGGGGAGGTAATTAAGAAAAGACAAAAGTAAGATGGGGTCATTAAAGATTTTTCTCACGAACCACTGGGCCAGAAAAGCTTAAACTTACGTGGAAGCATCTTGGGGTAGTGTAGATTCTAAATTGTTCAAATCATGATCCCCGGGGGTTGGATGGGGGCCACAATAGGGAATCAAAGTTTTACATAGAAATACATGTATATAGAAAAAAAAATCTTCTTCTCAAGAACCACTGAGCCAGAAAAGCAGAAACTTGTGTGGAAGCATCCTGGGGTAGTGTAAATTCAAAATTGTTCAAATCATGACCCCTGGGGGTTGGGCGGGGCCACAAAAGGGAATCAAAGTTTTACATAGAAATATATAGGAAAAATCTCAAGGACTACTGGGCCAGAAAAGCTGAAAATTACGTGGAAGCAATCTGGGGCAGTGTAGATTCTAAATTGTTCAAATCAAGACCCCCTGGGATTGGATGGATGTACGAAAAATTACCAAATTTGAGTCTTTTTGATAGTGTGTATTTCATTGACCATCGCATGTACACTTGCTAGTTCAGAGGATGTGCATGATTCGTGAATATGACATAGTTTACGATAATTTATAATTACATATGATTTTTATATCAAGAATTTTGCTTTTATGTCTGATTCACATAGAATTTAGGTCACTTGTTTGACCTAAATTTTCCGCTTTCCGTTCCGTTTTCTGTTCCGCGTTTTAGCAACACCCTTTATTAACGGTTATCTATAGCTAAATATTTATAAAGTTATCATATACCGGTATTACATGTAGCAAGAAATATCTGGAAAAGATGCCAGGACAGACGTTTTTATATTCATGAATAGTGAAAATTAGGGTTGGAGGAATTGTATATAAGCCAATACATAAAAAAGTTGGCCTTAGCAAAAGAAATTTGACTGTTCTTCTATTTGGTCTCAGCTTAAAAAATATCTTCGTAAAAGGAGTCTCGTTTAAAGTAATAATTTCGTAATTTCTATAGTCGATACAATGACCTTGTTCAGCAAATATAATTTATCATTGATTCAAACGCTGGCTAATGTTTTTCGTGCCAATTGTTAGTCCATTATTTATACAATGAATCGACATTCCCCCATTGTTTCCCGATCATAACTAGGAGCACACGGCGGGTGTGACCGGTCTGCAGAAGATGCACACTCCTCCATGGCACCTGATCCCACCTCTAATGTTTTGGAGGTCCATATTTGCTCTGCTCTTATATTGTATTGTTTTGTGAACTTTTGATCTTAAATAGAGTTTGTTATCTTTATTTGTTTCATAATTTTTAAGGAATTCGTTACAAGTACTTTGTTTTCACTGTTTCAAACATGTTGCATGTTTTACATATATTTAAAGCGTTAAAAAGATTAGATCATTTTTAGCTCATCTGAGCCAAAGGCTCAAGTGAGCTTTTCTGATCAAAATTTGTCCGTTGTCGTCGTCGTTGTTTTAAACTTTTCACATTTTCATCTTCTTCTCAAGAACCACTGGGCCAATTTCAACCAAACTCGCTACAAAGTATCCTTGTGTAAAGGAGATTCAAGTTTGTTCAAATGAAGGGTTACGCCCTTTTCCAAGGGGAGATAATTATGAATTAGAGAAAAATTAATGGCATTTTTAAAAATTTCTTCTCAAGAACCACTGGGCCAGGAAAGATGAAACTCATGTGGAATCATTCTCAGGTAGTGTTGATTCAATTTTGTTCAAATCAAGACAGCTGGGGTAGGCATCGTCTCAAGCCAAAGGCCGGAGTCCGCGTATATAGCTCCCTCCTACCCGTGGCTGCTTGATCACAAAAAGTGTCGTAATCTTGAATATATTTACGCTTATCTATTGTGACGTCATATTCAGTCAGTGGCAAGTTTTGTTTCCATAGCAATTGAAATCAACAACTGACGTCAACAGTATACAAGAAATATTTCCTGTACTGCGGTTGGATATTGAAAGGTCGCGATCAAGTTCATCATCCGACTATGCTTTACTCGCGTTGGTCAATATTTTAATGAGCTACGAAGAATACTCTCCTCTTTCAACCACGGCCAGAATTGGAGAAGATCTTACATTTTGGCCGCGGTTTGCGACGATGGGGGTAGGGTGGGCCCAAAATGGCTGATCAAAGTTTAACATAGGAATACATGGGAAAAATCTTTAAAAATCTTCTTCTCAAGAACCACTGGGCCGGGAAAGATGAAACTCATGTGGAATCATCCTCAGGTAGTGTAGATTCAGGTTTCTTCAAATCATGACCCCCGGGGGTAGGTTGGAGCCAAACTGGCCGATCAAAGTTTTAATGAGGAATATATAGGAAAAATCTTTAAAAATCATCTTCTCAAGAACCACTAGGCCAGGAAAGATTAAACTCATGTGGAATCATCCTCAGGTAGTGTAGATTCAAATTTTTTCATGACCCCTGGGGGTAGGGTGGGGCCAATATGGCCGATCCAAGTTTTACATTGGGATTTATAGGAAAAATCTTTAAAAATCTTCTTCTCAAGAACCATTGAGACAGGAAAGATGAAACTCATGTGAAATTATCCTCAGGTAGTAGATTCAAGTTTGTTCAAATTATGACCCCCAGGGCTAGGGTGGGGCCAAAATGGCCGACCAAAGTTTTACCTAGGAATATATAGGGAGACCTTTTAAAATCTTCTTTTCAAGTACTTCAAAGCCATGATTAGTAATATTTATATGGAATCATCCTCAAGTAGTGTAGATTCTAGTTCGTTCAAATCATGATCCCCTGAGGGATTAAAATTCAAGCCCCCCCCCACCAACCTCAGTAAACTTTCAGTTCTAATTTGATATGTGCTTTTTCCTTGCCGATGTGCTCAGGTAAGAGCTGTGGCCCCTGGGCCTCTTGTATAAAGGAACCTATACAATTCATCCCCAAGGAAAACGGACGAAACATATCACTTACTTTATCATTTTATCATTTATTTTAAAAGAATTAATTGCAAGACATTCAAATATGTTTATTTTTACGGAAAATTAATCGCCTTCTGACGTTCTTCCTTGAAATTTCTTGATTCAAAAATTCAATAATTACATATTTTCTTATGTATTTACATGTATTTGTAAGTGTCTGATTGTTTCAACTCGTTTGATAATACTTTCCTTTTTTAGGTGAATATAAACAAAACTTGTGTCCAGTTTCCTCACCAAGTTGTGAATTTTGTCCACTGAGACTACCCTCCTGTGTTGGTAAATCTGATGGAAACCAAAGTTTTATTGGCCATCTGTGGGAACCTTTGTACATCACTTGTTATAAAAACAGGACAATCAAGATTGCAAAATGTCCACATGGATATTTCCATCCATTTAACAATGTTTGTCAATCAAAAATTGGACACGGTATGCCAACTTGTCATGTGATTGTAGATTTAAAAAAAAAACTATATATTATATCTATACAATTAAGATTTACTAATCAAATAACCTTTTAAAATAAATGTTAATGACTTCTTTTATAGATGGCGCTCCGAGCTATTGTAAAACACATCCATTTGCTGTTGTGGCCAAGGAAGACAATTGTGCCCAATATTATAACTGTTCACTTCCTGCCAAACGATTTGCAAGCAATCAAATTCAAGAGTGTACTTACCCTAATTTGTTTTCAAGAACAACTTTGAAATGTGAAACATTTACCTCAGTGTCCTGTGATAGCAGACTGGAACCGCAGGCCCCTTGTAAGTTTGTCTAAAAATTAACTGAACTATTAAAAATATTGAAGATTACTTCAACTACTCTTAAAAACCAGCAAAAGTAGTTAGGGAAACTGAAGAATTTTATTCAGTCGCACGCGAGGTGCAGTTGAAAGAGCGTCTGCTCTTGACACATGTCAAGACACATGTTTCACCCATTCTCAGTAATAATGTGCAATTACATCTTCGCTAGCCAAGGGTTTATGATACGCTACTCTTCTCATGAACCCTTGGCATACGGTGAAGTCAAAAGACAGGATTGTTTTCGTCACGTGATCTCGATTCTATCAGGTACGCAAAGATTGCGTCATCGACAGAAATAAAGACACATGTTTAAAAAAAATTAAATCAAAGTTTTTTCAGGAATAATTAAGTAGCAATAACTAAGTTAATGCTTATTTATTATTTATGGTACAAATCTGAACTTCAATATAGATTTTTAATCACATTTTTAGAAGATATTGGATGACACCATAGCTATTCACAATCTCTCACCAGAGGGCGTTTACGCTCCTCCGCTCCAGCGGAGCGCGCCCGCTGGTGAGAGATTGAGCTATTCATAGAATTGCATGTTATCTTAATTACGGATCGTTGTTTACTTGCGTTTTTCATTCCCGAGATTAAAGAGTCAAGAAGTATCCCGAACGCAAATATCGTCATTTACAAAAAACAATTGCTGATTGGTCGACCGGGTGTACCGAATCCCAGTCAGAACTCGAGAAAAAAAACCCCAAGTTCTATCAACACCGTATGCTAAGGGATTATGAGGAGAGTAGCGTACCAGAAACCCTTGGCTATCTAAGATGGTGCAATTAAGGAATTTTTGAGACTTTAATATTCAATTTGAGTGTACGCTCGATAGACCTCGTGCAAAGTTATGGTTAGATATGTCAGATTAACATAGCACCATTTTGTTGGCGTAATAAATATGACAAATTGAAATATATGCTATTTTCTCCTAAAAATCACTGTAATATATACGTTACCGAACTTATCGCTTAAGAAATAAAGAATTTTGTAGCATTTTTACTTCTTTTCAAGTAAACAATATATATATATATAAATATATATATATATATATATATATATATATATATATATATATATATATATATATATATAAATATATTTTTTTTCTGATACAAGGGATATAATCAAAGTTATTCAGACTACTACAGTCGATAAATAGAGTTGATAGGGCCATCGAAAAACATGATTTCCTATAAATTAAAGATGCAGTATATTGCAGCTACGTTCTAACTCTAATTGTATAAATGAAAAATACTTCCCAAATCAAATGACATTAAATTGGCTATTGACAAACGATAAATTTGAGAGCAAACCACAATAATAGTTTTTTTAAAAATAAAAACAACCTCAAAAGTTGTCCAGGAGAAAAGTAACGTAAGTATTGTATGATAGTGTCAATTAGTTCTATCGATTTTGCAAAAAAAAAATCACTTTCTATGAGTGTGATATGGATAGATTTTTCTCACATATTGAGAACCTAAAATATACCTGAGTCAGAATTTTAAAAGATTCAATATATTTCTTGAAAGCACGGTTTTCCCTCAATTTCTGGTCATAGAATTTTTTCTTACATTTATATTTTTATTTATTTTATGATGAAAATAAGTATTCTCAATTGAACTTTATTAAAGAAGTTTAGAACAGTAGCATAGCGAATGAACAAAACAAAACCAAACAATGCGACTTTAAATGTATATGGATTAAGAGTTGAAAATCCTTAGGTAATCAAACGTAATGTAGGTATCAAACACTAAAGTTCACGGTTTATTTTCGGCCAAATGAATCCAATATAAGAGAAAAATCTTCATTTGTTATCCGAAAATTCCTCATCGTCTTGCCGCATGGAAGAGGTCGCTGAATAATACACAAGACCTGATCGTAAGTAATCCAGATCTTGTCCTCTCTGGTAGGCCACCGAAACAGCTTCTTTGCCTTCTCCATAAAGTTTACTTCTATCTCGTCTTCTTTGTCATCTGTATCTACAACTTCACCGATATACCAATCTCCGCTGTAGAGACAAGCCACATATTCGCTTCTCTAGATCTGCCTCTGCATTACTCTCTGTCTGAGCAGTAACGTTTGTATCACCTGTATCGTTGCTGTTGTTGTTGTCTTCGTCTTCCTGTGTTCTTCCATCTTCCTCACTCGTGTCCTTGTTTTGTGCCTGGAACGACAACTCTGTCCAACGTGCACAATATTTTTCGCTCAGACAGTCATTGCAGTAGCAGCTTGTTGTATTGGTAAGTATGGATGTTTCTGAGATACCTACAATAGCATGTCATCGTGTCCTTCACAGATTTTATTTGCAAAGAGTTCATTTCTTCACGTTTTCTTTCACATTTTTCTTTGTCTACATTTTGAAATATACTTCTTTCATGCTTGAAGTTATTCCCCATTGATAAAACTCTTCTGGATCTTGAATAGTAGCTTTCCCCTGCCTTATTGCCTCATCAGCCATGCGTTTTGTTGTACCCCTGAGGCCATCACAGGGGCCCTTGCCTTCAAAATAATTCCACTGTGCCTTTAAACCATATTTTTCGGGATGTTTGGTTATAGCGTAAAATATAAATCTATTCCTGTATTGACTTGAGGGTGAATCTGTCCAATAATGAATCTTTCTGACGTGTGGATCTATCTCCTTGATCTTTGGGATAACTTCATCTATGAAAGCGCATACAGTACTTGCGGAATGACGTGTCTCATCAGAAACTACAACAACCGATTTGTGTTGAAGTTTGTTTTCGTCATTGTGATAGATGACGATAGGATGCAATGTGACACTGGTCTGGTTTCAGTATGCAGTTTGTACCTCGTATAATGATCTACAAGAGAAGTTTTCCGCAAAATCCATCTGTATTATGACTTCATGCTCAGGTAGGTTCTCTTTCAACTTCCGCAACTCTCCATATTGTATGCACACTCTTTCAACATCCTCTGAAAATTCTTCAACTTCCTCCATGAACTTTCCTCTAATCTCCTGTTTTGCAGCACTTTCTTCGACGACTTTCATTTTTAAGATCTGACGATTTCCCTGCTCTACTGATACTCTTTTCCAGATTTTGTACTTGACATTCTCAGGTAAATCTGCCAGAGAAGTATTCAATTTTTCTATTTCTTTGATTATATGGTCGGGATTTCGGCTTAGATTGGCGCCAAGATTTCTTAGAGCACTTAATTTCAATGCCATATTCTGGTGGCGAATACAGAGGCAAGTATTTCGTGTGATAAATGACGCAAGTAAGATCGATCTAGGCCTCAAACGACAAAAAGATGCCAAGGATAATTTTAATGTTGGGTTTTCAGACAGAAATTTCAGATGCAAATTTTGCATGTAGTCAGTAAGAACAACAGTTTGTTGTTTGGTTCCCTCTTGATCTTTTTTGGAATCTTCTTTCCCGGGTTGGACTCGGCAGTTATCTTCTCTTCTGAGGAATGTTTCTACATTAATCTTGATTTCTTTTGTCAGACTTCTTTTACCATTTTTAAATTTTTGCTTCTGCACTTTTGGAGGCTGTTTCTGGCAAATCCTGTGGCCCTGCTGATTGCAGAAATAAACTTTTTCGTTATCCTCCCCGTAATAATACTATGCAGTGGCCTTCTTGACTTCCGAGTTGAAGTTTTTCTAGCCTCAGCGATTTCCTTCAAAATGGCATTTCCCAGAAGCAATTTTCTCCTAACATTTTGCTTTCTGATAGGTGTTAATTGAATATCAGACAAACCTTTCTCTGTTTATCTTCGTGTTGTACTTACTTTTTGGCTATTTGAAGCATGTGCTTTCTTGCGGAGACGCTCAATCTGTTTGTTTCGAGTACCGATTTTCCTTCTTAATACAGATATTTCGCTCTCCAGATTCTTGATAGACTTGTGAGCTCTAGCCAGAGCTCGTTTTCTGGTTTTCTTTATCCCTACATCCTTCGCCTTAGATTTCGTAATACTAGGTAACCGAACAATAAGTGGTGGGTTAGGGTTTCCTTGATGCCGACTTTCAAAAGGCATAGAACTGTAACCACTTGTATCTGATATTTCTTCACTGTTCTCTTCCTCATGTATTTCCCGTTTTCTTAATCGTGAAAGTCTATTTCTTAACATAGCTCTTCTGTTTCTTTCTGTCAATTTTCTTTTGCTCATTTGTGATGCGGGAACATAATATTTACGTACTCTTTCCCTTTCTTTTTGCAAAATCTGGGGACCTTTAGCCTTTTGACGCTCCCTGTAGTCTTTCTGTTTTTTAGTCATCCTAAAACAATTAATAATTGTCGTAACGTAAATCACGATACATACGTGACTAGAAATTATCAAAGTTTTAATATGGTTTGCAGTGTATATAAGCTTTAAATTGTATGTTTATTTTTAGGGTTATATATGTATGGGTAAATCAAAAAAAAAATTATCTTATTTAACAATTTTCGGTCATCTACTTTTAAAATCACAGTGGATTTATCTACAAATAATTAAGCATAAAACAGAACAAAAATTTACTTTCATTAAAGATACGATTAAGAAAAAAAACCTTCTCTGTAGCTATAATCAAAAGATGCATGTACCCTGTACTTCAATTCAAAGTTTAAAAACAAAATACTTTTCCCCCGATTTATCCGAAAAGGATAAGCTGCTTTATTAAAACTTACGTTACCAAAGGCTTCGTAAATATCAAAACATTCCAAAGCTCTACTGAATTTATTGTAATACTTTTAGATAATATTGATTAAATATATTTAACATCAATAGATTCCGATCTCTATTACAAAATATATTTGACTTTGAAGTGCAAATAGCTCTCACCTTAGGCTGGATTTAAATCCGAAGGTTTTACCGCGTCGACCTTGTTTGTCTTTGAATTTTCCCTCCTGTAAACTTCCGGTAATCATCAAGCAACGTGGCGCATCATGTGACAGACATGTGATACAATATAGTGTCAATGATTCTATATTTATCCATATTTGGTAACGTAAGTA